TGCACTCTCACCACTCTCGCCTTCGCAAAAAAAATAAAATAAAATGAAAGTATATGTATCGAGGAGTGGGTAGGTGAGAAGAGGCAGAAAAGGAGACCTTAACCGGACATGGGGCACGCATTTCGTAACTATGAAATCTGCTCGAAGGCTTTTTAAGCTGTAACACAAGGCAACAATGTCACCGGTGTAGTTCTGGCCATATCGCTCAAAGAAATTGTAAGTGGACGTATAAGTGATATTTCCATGATTCTGTTCTAATTCTCGTACTCCTACTATTCTGCGTTCTGCAATAGTCCGATGGGCGCCTTCCATACAAGAATACCAGGATAAGACAGTCGGCAACTAACACTTATAAAAAAAGAAATGGAATAAATTATGGTCGGTCGCGGGTAAGACCGATCAGATTAAAAAGTTCGCAGGTATAACGCAGGAACGGAAAGCACAAGACCGGGTAGATTTGATGATCATGGGAAAGGCCTTTGCCTTGCAGTGGGCGTAGTCAGGCTGATGATGATGATGGTGATGATGATGATGATGATGATATAAAAATTATTGAATATTAATGACGCGGGTCTGTACAAAAACGTGCGTCTTAGCGAAACCACGTCTGTGGTTTTGCAGTGTGGAAGCTAACAAATAAGAACACTTACAGACATCACACCCGACTGAATGGAAACTCTTCGTAGACTTACGAAATTATTGCCCACACACATTAACGGTACCTTGAAGAAAATAAAAGTCGCAGACGCTTGCTTCTCTCGCCTTCCTTCTTGTATCTATCCCTTTCCGCCCATGCGCCAACTTCAAAAGAAACGATGCCTATGGCAATTCAATTTTCGTTTATCCATTTTCATTGTTACGTACGGCAATTCAGTTTATAATTATCCCCCTACCGTTCCTTTGCTAGGTAGAAGAACAGCTATGAAAACGAAAAAAGTATTTCCTTTTGAGAGATGGTAATTGTAAACCAGTGCTTTCAGGAAACCTTGTGAATGAACTCTATCGCTACCTGCAAGGAACAACTTGTCTCTTGACAGCAAAAAACTACGTATACAAAGTTGAGCTAAATACGAGTTATACTAAGCATCGGAAAGCGTAGTTTTGCAAAGGGGTTATCAGCCGATTAAGTTTTGTGTGGCTGCTTCACGAATGCATAGTGCGGTCCACGTTATGTGCAATGGTGTTGCTTGGTGTCTGACCAGGCTAGTTGTAATGACAGGCGGGTTTATTTAGCGTGAGCGCAGGAGTCTCAGGCAGCGGCCTCGAGTGCCTCGAGTGTCATACGCTAGAGGTGGATGGCATTTCAATCAAGTCGTTACTCTGGCCCCGCTCAACGGGGGAGTGGAAGGAGGTGGCTCTCATGACGAGCGGCTATCGCACGACGCGACGTCCGCATAATGGGAGCCAAGGGTGCCTCGAGGTACCCAGCTCTTTTCTCTGCAGCATGCACTGGGCAGCCGCATGCCACAGCTGGCTATACTTGCATGTTGGCGGGGAAAATATGGGAGGGGGGTGGACGTCGAATGCCATTGAGCTCCTTTGAGGTCGTTGGTCCGGCGAAGGGAAGGCGCGATTTTTTTCGGGCGGCCCGCATAGCTTGCCGACGCAACTAACCTTCAGGGCACTCGGCGTGCCGATGCTCCTGATTGCGATGCTGCCTCGCCCGCGGAGCGGACCACCTGGCGCCGCTGCGCGTGCAGCTCCTCCGCACGCCCTTAGGACTCCCGGCCCCGATTAGCGCCTCTCCCTTCGCCCTCCTATTATGCACGAGATTTGTTTGTTTGTTTTGTTTCAGGGTGTTTGTTGAAATCTTTGGGACACTGAATCGCGAGCCCCTCCATTATATCTTCTTGTTGGTTCGGTACCCTATTAGGCTTTTTTTGACACGTTATCTCCCTCTCCTTGTATAAGTACGTTTTTGACACACACGCCGCTCGCACTTCACTCGCACCTGCGACGCTTCTTGTAACCCACCGCCGCACCCTCTGTTTGAAGCATTCGCTGGCTCTGTAGCGTGGCGCTGCCGTTAACGTCCAGGCAAGAAAAGCAAGGGTAATTCACCACCACTGAGCCGATCACCTCCTTAGTACACTGATCGCAACCATCGGTGGAGACCACTTGCAGCATCGGCAATAGAGAACTTCAGTTGCGTACCTATACTCTGTTAATACAGACAGTGGGCTCGTGTTCATGAAGCAGTTCGTACGTCATGGGTTTAAGTTATAACAGGTACTGACTAGGAATGACGTCGAAATATTGTTGCTGCAAAAAGAACGGTAACTATTCTTGCGAACGGAAAAGCCTTGCTCGTTGTTTCATTTTTTTTTTAGTGGCAAGCCTCATTTGGGTAAAATTATTAGCTCACTGAATAGTGGAGCTCTTCTAAGTTTAAGAACAGTCAAGCAATGTAAAGCCAAAGGGAAACACAATAGTGCAGGCGCAAACTCAACCCGTCTTGTCGTGTTTGGCACTGCACACGTGCTTTTACGCTGTTTTATGGTAAACTAAAGTACAATAACAATTTACGTCAGAATAAATTTCAATGTATGACAACATCTAAAACAACAATAATATGAACAGCAGTGTCCTACTTAGCGACAAATTAAGGTAAATGCACAAGAATACATGTGCTGCAGTAGGAGATTATCAAAATGATACCGATGACGTCACAAGAACCGCCTACAAGTAATCACTAGTAATCGATCTGACTGCACTAACTAAAGAACCTTCTGTGCATCATGAGACGCAATAAAATGCTGTTTTTTTATTTCTGTTTGATTCATGGAAAAATGAACTACCGGACGTTACTATGGAGAATGCTGCGAGTGGTCTAAAAATTCAATTATCGCGTACTTACATTGATAAGGTGGTGCCATCTAACGGGGCGCAGTTGAACCAAAACACGTCTGCCATCTCGGAGAATTTCAGAAAATTTATAAATGGCCGTTGTTGCTGCTGCGGCTTCCGTTGCTTTCGTTCTGTCTACTAGTGTCGGCGACCACGCAGTAAAGCTGGGCAACGTTGTGCATGGCAGCAGTGACGTGAGTCGGTCCGCTTCTTCAGTCGGGTAATTTGAAGTGCGCTAACCCGATGCGGGTCACTAAAACGTGATTTCATTTCAAAATAAGTCCTTCTTTGGCACAAAGGTAGCACTACGAGGTTTCTGGACTGCTATTTCAACAATCAACGCCGACTTAATCGTTGCCTTTAGTGTCCATTTAAAGAATAATACCAACTAACAGCCATATCGGCTGTTCTACTTCTTTAATAAGCTAATCGTTACTGTCAATGAGCTTCCTGCTGATCAAGATAACGAGCATTTGAGAAATTAATACTACGAGCGCACTACGGGATTGTGTTCACTCAACAGGCGGTTGGTAGATATGAAGGTAACTTGCTAGGAAGTCGTATACCGAACGTGAACTAACAATGAAACTGCTTTAGCGTTACCAGCATACGTTACCGCTACCAGATAAAACCCACTTTCAGAGGCACTATGTAAATTCAGTGGTTCTCAGCTGAGCTGGGCGTAATTTTTATGCTAGATGCAAAAACTTAGGCAGAGGGACATATTGTAGCGGCAAAACCTTCACAAGATGAAATATACCTTGATGTATCTTAGGCTGAGTGCTTGAGGAATAAATCTATGTTTACGTAGATGCAAAGGGATTGGGTATTTTAAATAAAATAGTTTACGTCAAATAAACACTTTTATTGAGAAGTTTAATTGGCGGAGAACAATGAATTCCTTAGTCAAATAGTTCACCATAGTTCCAATGAGTTCTGAGGCCACATTGGCGTCTTGGCGATGGTACCACACTTGTGCGTGCACGTTTACTGTATTGGTTTATGATACAACGGAACAGGCACTTTCTTCGAATTTACGACAGTAGGAACCCAAAGGGTTCCTATTGTCGTGTTTCCATGAACTCTTAATTCGTTTTCTGACGAAGTAAGGAAATAACACGTGTAGCGTTCCTACGAAAGCAACACACGTACCCACAATGATAGCTGACGGTGAACGTGCGTTCGCTTTCTTCAGGGCCTTCCCACAAGCAACACGACAGCCAAAGGGAAGATTTGGGCATACTTTGTACGTTCTCTTTAGTGTTGACAGTTGTGATACCGTTATTCAAAAAGCTAAGGCATTCACCTGAAGTCTGTCTTCATACATGACGACGTGCTCCACCGAAGGAAGGCTGTGCATGATACTGCTGGCGAAAGCACGTGCCCTTTGTGCCCTTTAAGGGTTTTTTTTAAGCAGTAGAGGCCAATCATACAATGACCCTACTTTGATGAAAATTACTGATGAGTCATGGCCCATTCGTAGACAAGTTGTGTCTTTGACGTCCTTTTGTTTGTAACTCGGCCATAAAAACAGCTTCAATAGAAGTGTCACCATTTGGTCTGTCAAACGGTGCAGGCCCATTTGCGGGGTATGAAGAGAGTGGGTCATACTAAAACAATTGTAGCGCCTCATGTAAAATGAAATCATGTCCCTGCATTTTACGATAACACCCAGTAACGTTCTGCATATACCGTACTATCACGTTTTCTTTGAAGCCTCGTATGAATATGAACAGCCATTGTTTCTCATAGAAATCCTGAAACACCATTCCTTGGAAATTATATATTTTTGGTTGTGTCGTATAAGCGCGAACTAATTTATCATTCTGACAGTGCATCAGCTGCAAGCCCGAAAGGCAAATGCACTGGCAGACAGGCCAAACAATACGTCGCAGCTAAAGAAAGTATGCAGGACTCTTTGTAAAAAGAATGCCAGTGAAAAATGTTCCCATATTGAACACCAACAGAATGTGCAGACGCCGTGGGAACAATTTTCAGTGACCCGGAATAACAGCAGAGCGACCGAAATTTTCTCTGCGCGCTCCTATAAGGAACCTAATTTTGTCACCCGTTTTCTCAATCGTGTTCAAGCTTAGCCGAGGAACGCAGTGACAGCAACAAACAATCAAAACGATGAAAAATCAATTGCTTACCTTCATGTTGATTCTAAGTCCAACGTTGCTTGCGTGCTCGATTGTGCGTAACGAGGAGTAGTGCTCGTGGAAACAGTACTAGTCGAGGCAAACACAGTCACGATGAAATATGAAGACGATCGACGCTTTCTGCGGCGGCGTGTGCACGAGTCCCAGAGGGCAGTCTCTCCAACGAAGGCTACTGAAGCAAAGTGGAGTCTCCTTAAAAGCTGGACCAGAGTCGGTTCGCAGTGTGCTGCGCCGGCACGTAGTCGTCGCTGTGTATCTACGGCTGTGCGCGCAAGCGCTAGTGCTCGTGAGATGGGAAAGCCGTGCACAGCGCTGACACGGCGTGGTATGGGAGTGAGCCGAGCAGCACACGACCACGATGAGAGCTGAACGCGGAGGAGCGATGAGCTGTGGTTGCAAGCTCTCTTGTTCTGCGCCGAAATAGGACGATAGGCGCCCGTTTCATACCGGGGGAGAACGCCAGGGAAGGCGAATTTCTCTGCTGCCGCGTAGCTACGCCACCCTGAGGCACCGAAGGGGGAGGGGGGGGGTGACGGCAAGACAAAGTACAAAGCATGAGAGAAGCCAAGAAACTAAACTCGTGAAAGATGCTGTCGGGGCGGCTAAAAAAAGAAAACTCACCGCCTTCTCCTCCGACTCTGCTCTGGTGGAAGGGGATGCTGCGTGCATGCTGCACTGCGGAGAGGCGGTCGCGTCGTCCCTTCAGATTTAGGGCAAGCTCGTTTATCGAAAACTCTCTCGTTCCCGACGCCCGCCACTCGCTGATGCTGCTACTACTACATCGTTGGGGCCCGGCCGTGCACGCCAAGCCACGGGCAGGTGCTTCGCAGTGGCCGTCGGCTAGTGCTCAAACAAGACAGAGAGACGGGAGAAAAAAGAGAACGCGCGCGCACGTAGCGTTGGCCTTCCTGCACGGCACCAAGCGTGTTGCGGGCGACGTAACGGGACGGCCCAACGTTTAGGGAGCCACCGCTGCGCATCTCGCGAGATGCTTTTTTCTCCCTGGGATCAAGCTGAAAGACAAAGCATAGACGCTAAACCATGCAGAGCATGGTTTAGCGTCTATGACACCTTTACAGAGAATGTGTCTTCACAGAGAAGGTGTCTCACATCGTCTGTTTTTTTTTTTTTTTTCTCTTGGGTTGCTTGCCGACAGTGATGGATGTCAGTGCACTTGACATCCATTATTATACACGTACGGACTACAAGTTTCTTCCCTTATTTTCTGAATTATGCGATGTTTCTCGATGACGGTGGTCATATTAAGGACGAGCCGACAAGACAATTAAAAAAAGATATCTTATTCTTGTTCACTTTCTCATAAATTAGGTACAATATTTCAGCATCGTGACTGCTGCATTCTGCTTCTTTCCTCCGGCATAAGAAAGCGAGAGAGCTCTCGATTTATTTTTCAAGGGAAGGAATTTCCCAAGATAAGACATTTGACTTACCGCTTAAGAATATTGGGTGGTATAATGCGTGCATCGAACGTGTTTAGTCAGATTATTTGTTGATAGATATGTGTGGTATAACGTCCCAAAACGACCATGAGAGGTGCCGTAGTAGAGGGCTCCGGAAATTTCGACCACGGGGGGTTCTTTAACGTGCACCCAAATCTGAGCACACGGGCTTGCAGCATTTTCACCTCCATGGAAATTGCAGCCGCCGCAGCCGGGATTCAATCCCGCGACCTGCGGGTCAGCAGCCAAAATCAGGTAATTTATTGATTGATATAATATGATGAGCTATGATGAGGTGCAGGGGGTATCAATCCATTATCTCTAACTAGTATGAACTTTTTCATTTTTGATTCATCCAGGAAAACGTCTTTCGTTGGGCACGGCACATATACGGTGTCACTCTGTGCCACATCGCAAAGCTCGCCCCGTAAAAATCACGCGAACCTCGGTGGTGGGGGGGGGGGGGGGGGGTGAGGTTGGGGGTCACGGCGGGTGGTTGGTGTCTGACGCGCGCGCGTTCACGCTACGATGCTGCGAAGCTGTATACCCCCAATAGCGTCAACAAAGACGCGCGCCTAGAAGTGAAAGAACGCCGAATCGCGAGTCAGAGAGTGGAGCCCGAGCGAGAAAATAACAACAATATCAAGTGTAACTATAAACGCTTGAAAGAACGACGTAAAAACAACCGTCTTCAACAAAAAAGCGCCCTAGTAGAGGTGTCTAACGGTTTCACCGCGACAAATGGCCGGCGTTTGCTGGCTGACTCTGTGGAACAGCAGAGAGCAAGCCGCCCTCTCTTTTACACCTATACACACAGAGTGAAAGAGAACAGAGACAGGAGGGAGCAACCGGAGCAGGAGGTGCGTGTGCGGTTTTGAGCGTGTGGCGCGTGTACAGGCGTACGCGCGCGTCGTAGCTTCAAAAACAAATGCATAAAATATAAACTGCTCGTGGTTTCGGTTTCGCCCGGCCGTGGCTGGCTTCGCCGCAGTGGCTGCGGCCGGTTCGTTCACACCAAGGCGCGCTTCGCGAGCCAGCGCACGCCCTGCAGGCCGTCGGCGATGCAGAAGATGTAGGTCGGCCGGGTTGCCCGCCCTCATCCTTGCGAGGAGAGGGCGGAGGGCAGAGAAGCCTTTCCTGCTCTGTCGCGTTCGCCTCGTGCCTCATGTCGCGCGTTCGGGAAGGAACACACGCGTTTTAAAAAATACTGATAAAAAGGAGCGGAGGAAGAAACGATGAAGAGAGAGAGAGAGAGAGGCATGCCGAAGTGTCTCGCCTCTTGGGCGAAGAAAGGTTATCCAATATTTGCATGAAAAAGGGCCGAGACCATGACTTTGCCGACACGCGGTGAGCGAGCTTTTGAAAAAAAAAGATAAAAAGTGCCCTCAGGCTCACGCACCACCACCCTTATTTATTCTTTTTTTTTTACGCCACTGGCGAAGGGACTCGAGTTCGCACGACAAAAGCTACGATATAACCGAATGAAAGCGGCAGTGCGAAACAGAAAAGAGAGGAAGGGAATGTGAGAAGTCGTTCAGACAGCAAGAGCGTAGAGCGTTGGTGAGTGATGTCGTTGCTCCGTAGAACACGTTAACCCTGACCGTCACGTGTCACCAGTTAGCGGCATGTCACTTCGTTGCTGGTGGTGTGCAGTTTTACGCTGGTTGTTTCGCTTCGAAGGCGCGATACGGTCGCGCGTTTTGCATTCACTTTCCCTGGCGCTTCGAAATAAGGGAAACGCTGTAAGCTAAACGAGCTGCGCGGGTAGGGTTGGGAGGTCTTATAAGAATGAGAGACGGGCTGTTTCATGGTAGGCTATACGTATAAATTGCCAACCAAAGCGTCTGGCCACGGTGTCTACTTCTCATGTAGATTGATATGTGGGGTTTAACGTCCCCAAACCACCATATGATTATGAGAGACGCTGTAGTGGAGGGCTCCGGAAATTTCGACCACCTGGGGCTCTTTAACGTGCACCCAAATCTGAGCACACGGGCCTACAGCATTTCCGCCTCTATCGCAAATGCAGCCGCCGCAGCCGGGATTCGATCCTGCGACCTGCTGGTCAGCAGCCGAGTACCTTAGCCACTAGACCACCGCGGCGGGGCTCTACTCCTCATGTTGAGTAGCACCCTTTGCCTCGACAGTGGGCGCGAGACTAGATCTTAGAGACGCTAAGCCACAGCATTTATTCAAGAAAATGTTGTCAGCTTTAATACTGTGCCTAATAGTTGTGGCACCGGTCCATGTAGTATTATTTTCGAATGAAGCCATATCCAACAAGAGGTAGGGTCCTGTTATGAAAGTACGAAAAGAAGAAATATATGACGATCACTACTGAACAAAAGTATTGCCTAAAACTGGCACGTTACTGAAGAATGGATATCTCTTTTGAAATGCACTGGCCGGATTCTCGATGCTTCACTTTCTTAACTGGCCGTCTGTATTCGCTAATAACACGCTAAGCACCAGATTTGACTGGACTTTTCTCTTACAAAATATTCTAGCAGGCGTAGGAGCTTTCTTTTTTAATACGGAGATTTTATGGTAAACGGCTACTAGGAAGAAAATCACTGCCAATAGTGAAGGTCCAAAAACGTACCCGCATTGGCGATGAGAAACAACTACGGAAAAATTATTTCACTGCAAAGTTCATAATTTTAGAAAAAATCTGGTCGTCACGACTTGTTTCCAAGCGAAAAACAAAGCGTTGCAACATAATGCAGTATTTATACATTTGATTTCGTGCGGAAACTAAGATTATCGATATGTATAAAGAGTATCTATAGCAACAATGAACCATTTTCTATTCAATTACTGTGTATACCGCGACACCTAACGAGGAACCAAACTTTTCACAACTTTAATATACCTCCCACAAAAAACGCCTACAGGAAACAAATACTGCAATATACTGGAGTGTAAGTTTTGAATGACATGCCGCATTATATCAAGAATACCAGGAACTTGACCTGTTCACTGAAAAATGACTACTCTGAAGTAGTTTTCCCTGCTTAAGTTCACTGATACTTTAAAATATAATTTTTACTACGTATATATATTACTCTTTATGCGTCTTGTTTGCTGGGTTTTAAAATACATTTGTTCTTTTTATTAATCTATAAAAGGTAACATTATTCTTACTTGGAGCTTCAAGATTCATTCTGCATCTTTGTGTGCCCCTAATTAGCAATTGTTTGGGCAAACTACAAGTTATGCATTCCCTTTGTTTGTTTGTTTTTGTCCTTGATCTTTTAAATTCAAGTGATGTTGTTTGCAGTTCAACATGATTTCATCTATGATGATATCAAATTTGAATTGTTTACTTGTGTTTATATCAATCAGAACTAACACAGTTTCTGTTATGTACACTTCCAGTGGGACCCGCATTAGCCTTTGGCTATGAGACCATACAGATTGTGCGTATTTTGTTTAAGATATGTGTGAAATAAAGAAAAAATAGCGAATGTGGTTAATCGTGTGTGGAGACTACTTATTAAGAATGAAAGACTGTGTGTTTGAACCAAAAAGCCTTTTTTATTCGATAACAAAGTTTAGTGCTCCTCTCGCTACTATCAAAACCATGATTATTTTGTAAAAGTAAAGATAAGAGAGAAAAAAAAGCCTTCTTGGGCGTCATTCTATTAATAGTTTGCGCCAAGTTGATGCCCACGGGAAATGATATACGGCAAAACCTCGCACTTGCAGTGTGTGGTTGACGGAGCAAGTACGCTCGTGCATTCTCTTATTTATAATGCCTTATAAATCATTTTTAACATTCGTATACAGGTTGACTAAAGGCACCTACGATTTCTGATAATGTGCATAGAAGTTGAAAATTGAGACAGACAAGGAAAACAAACGCGTAAAGAATAATTGAAGCAATTTGTGCACCGT